TGTAACCAACCCATAGAAATATAATATATTCTGTTTTACCACAGAAACGGCAGATATAGCTATTGTTCTGATATCTAACCTCCATAGATGGCTATACTCTGTAATAATCTCTTAAGAGATTATAACATAAAACTAAAAAAAAAAAAAAAAAAAAAAAGTGAATGTAGAAATGGATTAGTTAACCATGGGTAAGTATGGGAAATTGTTGTTTACTCCGGGGAAATTCTTTTTTTTTTTTTTTGCCAAAACGAACAGTCATTATCCCTTTAACTTTGTTTTTTGACCATTCTTTGCGTTCAGTTTTACGCTCTGCTATCTTCAAAATGGTTTGCATGTGCACAATTCATTCACTGCGAGCACCTTTTACGAGTAATACTATCAGGGCTTCCTAACCAGTGTGGCCATTGCATCATTCGACGTTGTCTTAGTGCAAGGCTTCCGATTGTTAAATGTCTTATTAACCCTTGTTGACATATCATTGCCCTCTCTATTATAATCCTATTTTTATTCGTGCAATTTTTGTGTCGCACTTCCTTCTGTTTTTTATCCCTCTTATGTGCTATTTTTTTTTTCTTCGCACCGTCCGCTGCATTGACTTGTTAAATTAGGGAAGTCACGCGGTACGACTGCTCACTCGACCTTGAACGATGGAAAGTAGGTTGAGCAGTTTTCTCACACTTCTTCCCACCCGTTCATTCGTATGCTAGTATCTGGGTCACGTGACACGCAAAGTATGTTACAATTGCGGGGTATAAATGCAACTCTTAGTTCTTTATTTCTACGTACTTGACGCGCGTTAGACGTTAACTTTGAAATAGATCTTGTTTATTTGGAGTATTTGATGCTGTGAAAGTGCTGTTTATGTGAACAATTTCCAACTAAAACCGCTTTGTATACCCGTTTAAAACGAGAAAACGGCCATTAATGACAACATTAAGTTTCATTTAATATTACACGTCACGCGTAGTAAGTAGTGTAAAAGCGTGGGTTAGTTTAAGTACAACCTAACCTATTGGACATAAAGAAAAACGTTTATAAATGTTATCTAAGTTTGACAACAATTTTAATTTGAAAAATCTATTTAAATGGAACAATAAGGGTTAATTGTCATCCAGGTACCGAAAATTAGGTTTTCCTGTTTCTAATTATTCAGTAATGCATCTGCCTTCTTGAGTTTGGACTTTGCGCCTTAGTAGATTTTCATAAAGCATTTGGCTGCATCAATAGGGTTTATTTGTTGCATAAATATACGAAAACTCTACTTTTTTATGTGAATCTCATGCAGAAATGGTTTTAAAGCAAATCATGGTAAAAAAATGTTTCATCTGGAAGAAAGCGTACACGTCGTGGCGCCCAGGGGTATTACCTTGATAGAGCAATTTATTGATCCAATTGACACTTGCGATATTCAAGGACAAGTTTCACTTGCAGCATGAGAATGTTAAACCCACTGTATCCGCTTGGTAAAGGATTTTAAACTGAAAATAACAGCGACCAATCCGCCTAAAACCTTGATGTGAACACAATTGAACATATATGGGACAAATGGGTAGTGCTGTATGCAGGAGAAACCCACGCCTGGATAATCCACAACAAAACGTAAACCAAGAGTAGAACAAAATCCCCCAGCAAAGATTGGTGGCAGCAGTGAACAGCATATCCAGTCGCGTATGGGCTCTTTATCTTGCACGTGGGGTCACATCCGATAGGGTAATGAATAGTCTTAAATAAAATTATACAATTTTGCAATTGATCGTCACTTTGCTTTGCATTAAGAACATTTTTATTTTAATATTTATATTTATTTAAAATTTAATATTTATTTAACAGAGTTTATTTTCAGGGGCCAAAATTGAAAACTCATTTAATCTACAGGAGTCTACAGGAAATATGCAATAGAGGGAGTTTCTTTTAAATGTCCAGAGATTATACATTTTGAGTCTGCCACTACACGCTACAACTGAACAATAAAGAAAAACTGACATTTGTTACAAAATTAATACATTTTATGAAGTTTAGCAACCCTTTTTAACAACAATAAGACCACTCAGAAGAGTAGAGCCGAGTGCTAGCCGGTCCACAACCTAAATATGGCGGACCTACATGAAAGGAAGACCGCTTAATCCTGTAATGGTCTATCCCCCTCTTTCACGCCTCCCCAGTCATCATCCCTGCAGGGGCACAGTGATTAAATCTCATCCCAATGCGACCGGTCGAGGAACGACGCGTGGGGAGGCGTGTGAGAGGCTATGCAATAATTAAATGAAATCTATGGAAACCCTTGCAGGAGTGTACATTAACGCGGTAGGGATGACACCTTTTTTGCTATGTAAATCAACAATCCCGTAGTTGATGACTTTCGCAGGGAATTGATTCTTTGTCATTGTGGTATTTCCATTTTCAGTTCTGCATTCCCCGTTTCTTTTCTTTCTTTTTGATAATTTTCATAACACTGGAATCAACGGTAACAACGTCGGTATCAATGATTTACCTTTTTTATATTTTATGTACTATATAAGCATATGTGATAATAATCTGTTTCATCTTTTCTTTCAGGTTTCCAAATGTACCAAATGACAAGTAAGGGCACTATGATCTTTGGTGGATCCCTACTGTTAACGCTGATTGCTGTCTGTTCAGGGCAACGAGCAAGTAAGCATGACCAAAAGTTCAATTTCTACAAATTAAGAATAGGCTTACTTTTGGGATATTTTGATGTGCCATGTGCTATCTTCACCAGTGTCTTGCGACACAGGGGCCGGTTTCACAAAGCAGTAGTTAGTTAGCGATAGGTAGAATTTTTTTATTCCAGCTAGATGCCAAATCTAACATGTTTTTTCAGACTAGCAATATGTCCAATTAAAATAAAATGTCCATATAATTGAGAAAACATCGCCAAATGTTACCTAATTCAAACAAAAACCAGAGTGTGGTCTTTAGATGTTACGTGTCCTTTAGCGAGACTTCTTACTACGTACTTCAGTTATATTCTGTAGGCGGTGCAGCACGATTCCAACAAAGTTAAAAATTCTCTTTTTTAGGATATTGTTCCATTCTTTCTGAAGAGCTTGTTCTCTATTACCAGGAGTTTTTTCTCTTCACGATGCACTCCATGAGTGCTCAAAAGTTCTAATGGGCAAGATGTTACGGGCCTAGCTGACTTTCTTTTTTTTATTTTCTCAATAATCGGTACACTCAGTTTGACACAGGGTTATGACAGACAAATGGATGGCAGTTTATCTCAGTGTGGTCGTCCTATAAAACCAACGAGTCGTGACATTGATAGAGGGCGCTATCAGCGATAGGTGGGGCATTTTAGACTTGTTGTCAATATTCAATTGGTAATTACGTAATTCCACAGGTGACTTAAATCTCAAATATTTACGAACCAACCGACAATATTACTTTGAATAAGATAATTGATTTTGAAGGTTAAGAGACAAGCAATAATTTCATAATCATAATTGGTTTCTCCGAGACTTTGCTACTTTTCTTAGTGCATGTTGTCTTTTCTGCTCTCTGGTTTCACATTTTAATTTTCACACTGGATATCCACTAATCCACTATCCACTATCCACTGGATATCCACTGGATTTTCAATTACCTTTCCTCCATTCAATATTTTCTTATAAGGTAATAAAGTTGTGTAAACTTATATTTGTTTTTAATTTTAAAATATTTGAAATATTATTTGAATTACTCATGCTTGGACCATATCCATCCTTGCTTTGCAATTGTTAAAGATGCATACAAAGTCAATTTTTTGTCACAAAAAACCAACCAAATGCCAGCATATAGTTTCAAGTAGTATAACTAAGAGAATTACCAAAAGGCATTGTTTAATTTTACCTGAAAATGATGTTTGAAGGGATTTTTCTGCTGGCATTCTAAGCTGTATGTCAATGGGGCAGGAAAGTAGGTCACGAAAGTAGGTTAAATTTACAACCAAAAATTTAAAGAAAGGAGCAGTCTATTGGTCTTTTATGGCTGATCGAGTGATCTATTCAGTTTATCNTAGGCTGACCTAGGCTTTACCTGAAAATGATGTTTGAAGGGATTTTTCTGCTGGCATTCTAAGCTGTATGTCAATGGGGCAGGAAAGTAGGTCACGAAAGTAGGTTAAATTTACAACCAAAAATTTAAAGAAAGGAGCAGTCTATTGGTCTTTTATGGCTGATCGAGTGATCTATTCAGTTTATCCCTTGGCATGTCGAATTTATTTGAGTCATATAAGAATCTAGTAGAAGTGGTTTACGTGTGTTACTGGGAATCCACGCTCCACCGATGCTCGGTTCGTATGTACCTTTAAACATGTGTTAAACACGTGACTTTGACACGTTCCATTTCCATCTACGGTAGAGAAACCCACTGTCCTCTGGCTCATGGGTACACTGTAAATTGTCCGTCGTGTCTGTGAGTTTTTATACAGCTTCATTACCTCCGCCAAGGGGGTTATGTTTTTGGTTTCGTTAGTTTGTCTGTCTATCTGTCTGTCTGTGTGTCTGTGTGTCTGGTAGCAATATTACAGAAAAAGTTATGGACCAATTTTGATGAAATTATTTTCTGGTACTATCAGAAGCGGGCAAAGGAAGTGATGATTCGATTTTGGTAGTGATCAGGATCATTAATCAATCAATGATCAATAATAATAATAAAAAAAAAAACTAAAAAGAAATAGACTGGAAAATTAAAGTTTTAAACGGCATAGGGTGGAGACTTTGCTGCCTTGGCGGAGGTCTGCGCTCTCGGAGTGCTTTTCTAGTTGTCTATTATTTCCAGTGCATCGACCATGGACATTTAAACTGTATTAGTCGTCTATGCGTAACCATAATCTGGGTCCATAACTCTCTAGTGAATGTCTGAATGTGAAATGAGTAATGTGCACAGCGACATCTTTATCACTCAGTGACAAAGTATCTTAATTACAGGGGTAGTATCATCCACCTAATTGATGAAACTTTTAAACACCGTGTATGGTTCTATTTCTATTTGAATGAAAATACAAAAATACATAAACCAGTTAAATGTTAGCTTCTCTAAGGCAACTGATATTTATTTTATAATATAGATATATTTCATCTGAACATGATAATTTAAACTAGTTTGAAATAATTATCGTTGAAGTGATACAAGCCATCTAAACCGTCGGCAACAAAAGAAATATAAAACATTTCCTTGCAGTTGAAGTGAGATTGGTGAATGGCTCACGTGCCGGTGAGGGAAGAGTTGAGGTGTTCCATAATGGCGTTTGGGGCACTCTCTGTGATGACAGCTGGGATAGCAACGATGCCCGTGTGGTCTGCAGAATGCTTGGTTACACGTAAGCACATCGTTTATTTTTTCTTTCAATTGCTATCCATCTAAATCATAAAGAATGTTACCCATTTCTGAAAAAAAATCTGATCATGTCAACTAATTTGAAGTGACTCACAAATTCCAGAACCAGTGGCTCTGTTTCCTTTTCTCGCGCTTATTTTGGACGAGGTACTGGTTCCATTCTTATGGATAACGTCGACTGCTCTGGGAGTGAGACTTCTATCAAAGATTGTGGTCACAGAGGTTGGGGGAAACACAACTGTGTTCACTCAGAGGATGCTGGTGTCAGATGTCGCATAACAGCAACACCTGGTGGGTGACCATTTTTCTTTAGTCACATATTTTAGTCATGTTACATAATGGTATTTAGATTATTTTTGCCATGGACCCGAGTCTAATGTACTTTTAAATATCTTTAATATACTCAGTAATGTTAAGCACAATATAATATAATATAATATAATATAATATAATATAATATAATATAATATAATATAATATAATAGTATTTAGTCAACATAAAAAGCAATGTTTCTACAATTTGCTAGCGCTGCACTCAAAGTGAAAAGCAAATACGCCCAGTTTTGTAAGAAACAGTGTGACCAAATAATTAATTTCTAATGAAAAAAAAACTTTGCTGATCGTCATCTGTAATTCTTTGTAGTTAAAGTGAGATTGTTGGGTGGTTCTCGTGCCGGTGAGGGAAGAGTTGAGGTGTTCCACAACGGTGAATGGGGCACTGTCTGTGATGACGACTGGGATGGCAACGATGCCCGTGTGGTCTGCAGAATGCTTGGTTACAGGTAAGCACTTCGTCTATTTTATGTTCATTTGCTACTCATTTTTATTGTAGAAGTATGTTACTCATGGAAAAAGCTGATTATGTCAACTAATTTACTGTCACTTACAAATGCTAGCCCCAGTGGCTCTGTTTCCTTTTCCGGCGCTCATTTTGCACGAGGTACTGGTCCCATTCTTATGGATAACGTGGCCTGCTCTGGGAACGAAGCATCTATCCAAGATTGCGGACACAGAGGTTGGAGGACACACAACTGTGCTCACTCTGAGGATGCTGGTGTCAGATGTGTCGGTGCAGTGCCTGGTGGGTGAATAGACCATTTTGTTATGTTGCGTAACTTAGACATGCGTTTAAGCTTTGAAAAGTACGTATCCTTGTGATTTTTGCGTAATACATTATTAGTTAAAAGGGTTGTCCCACCTCCATTTCCATGAACTTTTATTTACAAATGATCACCTCACAGTTGTAAATAGTTAGAAATAGTGCTTTTTTATTCCAGATACCGTATCTTACGTGATTAATGGTTCAAAATTTGATGAAATATGACTTTTTCATCACAGCCTAAAGCTAACTTAAGTTATTTTGTCTCGCCGTCAGTTTTCTTAATATTTCCACCCAAGATGACGGCATTCAGATCGCAATTGCAGCCAGTTTTGAATTAAAAAACATAAAAGTGAATTATTAAAATAAGACTGATATTGTACAGTAGTTTAAATGAACTAATACATATAATTAAGTGCTTTTACTGGCTTTTAATATTAGACAAATAACCTTAAAAATAGCGACTTTTCAAAATTTGAAGGGGGCATTTGGAAACAAAAAATGAGGAGGATCAGGAGTCTCATTTGTTCCATAATCTCGTTGTTGGCTGCCGTGGATACTGATGGTAGTTTGTATACACCTTGAATATCAAATTGCTCTTGGATTTTCCTTCTTTAGCTTTCGCCAGACTTTCCATCATAGCAGTGTCTAGGAAAGCTGGTGTATGGGACTCAATGGTAGACTTATACTCCTTCGTGGCTTGGTCCTGTATTTCTATTGATGATATAAGTAGGTCGTCATCAGGATATCCTCTGAAGTCCAGTCGGCATCTCACATGGTGGATGTTGTTGCCGAGCTGTTTAAATGTCTGGTCTGTCCAGAGAGAGCAGCCTTTGAGGTACTTTTTCACTTTGATAATCTCGTCGCAACGTTTTATTTCATATATTTCCCTTGGACTTGCAGTTGATGAAGGTCACTTGTTGACCTAAAATCACTTTCTGCAACCAGTTCACTCTTCACTTTCCCCCCACAGGCAGTGCCCCTACATTGCTTTGTCTACCTCGGTCAGGCCCGTAGCTAGGGGGGTTCGGGGGGTTCCAAATATCAGTTAATTGAATGCACCGCTTAGAGAACTCAAGCAGAGAGAAGAATGGTCACTGGACGCAGCAGCAGAACCAGCTTGTGCAAACATAAACAAAGCAGTAAATTTAATGAAAGTACTAAGATGTTAATTAACGATATAAATTGACCATTAATATTGATAGTGCCCGCATCAACGAAAGGGCTAGGAGCAGCAGTAATTCAAAAAGTAAGAGTAGTGGCATATGCATCCAGAGCATTGTCTCCTGCTGAGCAACTGTACGCTCAAATGGAGGAAGAGATGGTAGATGTGGTGTATGGATGTGAAAAATTCTACAAATTGATATAATACAAAAAGGAAATATAAATAAAACATTGTACGTTATGGAAAATCGAAACAATCATAAGAGACAATGGGTCACAGTTCAAAAGTAGTGAATTAAAAAATATTGTGCAAACATACACGATTAATCATGTGACATCTCCACTACACCAACAAGCAAATGGCCTCACCGAAAAAGGAGTAAAATACTGTGAAGAAAATTATTAAAACTGTAAAGGAACAGGGGATGATGTATATCTGTGGGTGCATTCCCAGATATTTAGATCGATCCAGAGATTAATATTTAGATCGACCTAACTCCCTGGGGGTTCAAGCTAAATTGCAGTAAGCCGAGCGCGCACCATAGTTAATTACCCCCTTACAGCTTTTAGTAGGCGGGACAGACGCTTAAGCCGGCTAAGCTGACAGTAGTGAAACTCCCCACAGGGATAGATCGATCTAAAATCTATGGAAATGGGGTCTATGTCTACTGGAGCTACAATGTACGAAGTATCCATTGAGATAAAGAGTTCACGAATGCAGAGGTTAATGAGTCAAAGAGCCAAAATTTATCAATAACATCAAACTTGCGTAAACCCCACATCTAGGAACCAGATGGGTAACTTTATAATCACTGGTTACTACAATACAACAGAAATAGCACTAGTTCTACCAAAAAAAGTAAAGATAGTTTAAAGCAGGATATTCTATTCTATTCGATTTACTCCCCCAAACGGTTGGAAACGAGCTGAGTATGTGAAACCAACAAATCAACAGATTGTAAAGGCAGGGAAATAGTGCAAATTAGTTCAGGGAGCATTCTAAGAACGCAAGATTTTTTAGAAAACAAAGTAAATCTACTGGTGTACCTATTCAACAAAATGTGAGAAAGCAAACCATAGTGAAACCAAGACAATTTTCAGTCAATGAAACAAAGCATACCAATACAAAATTTAAAATTTAACTGATCGACATCCGCAATTCCTTCCAGTTGAAGTGAGGTTGGAGAACGGCACTCGTGCCGGTGAGGGCAGAGTTGAGGTGTTCTACAACGGCGAATGGGGCACTGTCTGTGATGACAGCTGGGATAACAACGATGCTCGTGTGGTCTGCAGAATGCTTGGTTACAGGTAAGCACATCGTTTATTTTATGTTTCATTTGCTTCTCAGTTTAATCGTAAATGTGTTATTCATTTTTTTATCTGATTATGGCAACTAATCTGATGTGGCTTACAAATTCCAGCCCCATTGGCTCTGTTTCTTTTTCCGGCGCTCACTTTGGACGAGGTACTGGTCCCATTCTTATGGATAACGTCGCCTGCTCTGGGAGTGAGACATCTATCAAAGATTGTGGTCACAGAGGTTGGGGGACACACAACTGTGGTCACTCTGAGGATGCTGGTGTCAGATGTCGCACAACAACAACACCTGGTGGGTGAACAGACTGTTTTCTTCAATTACGAACGTTAGTCACGCTAAACAATGGTGTTTATATTATTTTTGCCATGGACTCGAGACTTATGCACTTGGTAACACTTTGAACATACTCGAAAACGTTAAGTACAATATAATAAAATATAATATAATATAATATAATATAATATAATATAATATAATATATAAAAGCAATGTTTTCACATTTTGCTACCTTCATACTCATGAACACCTAAATCACCCAGATTTGTAAGAAACAATGTTTGGTCAAATAAGTAGTTCTAATGAAAAATTTTGTTGATCATCATCTGTAATTCTTTGTAGTTAAAGTGAGATTGGTGGGTGGTTCTCGTGCCGGTGAGGGCAGAGTTGAGGTGTTCTACAACGGTGAATGGGGCACTGTCTGTGATGACAGCTGGGATAACAACGATGCCCGTGTGGTCTGCAGAATGCTTGGTTACAAGTAAGCACATCGTTTACTATATGTTTCATTTGCTACTCATTTTAAGGCAAAGGTGTTATTCATTAAAAAAATCTGATTATGTTAACTAATTTGATGTGGCTTACAAATTCCAGTCCCAGTGGCTCTGTTTCCTTTTCTGGCGCTCATTTCGGTAGAGGTACTGGTCCCATTCTTATGGATAATGTCGACTGTTCTGGGAGTGAGACCTCTATCAAAGATTGTGGTCACAGAGGTTGGAAGAAACACAACTGTGGTCACTCTGAGGATGCTGGTGTCAGATGTCGCACAACAACAACAACTGGTGGGTGAACAGACTGCTGACTTCAATCATGTATTTAAGTCTTGCTCCATAATGGTGTTTAGATTTTTGCCATGGTATCGAGTTTTATGCACTAGAAAACACTTTGAATGAACTCGAATACGTTAAGAACAATATAATATAATATAATATAATATAATATAATATAATATAATATAATATAATATATTTCGACATAAAAAAGCAGTTTTCACATTTTGCTAGCGCCATACTCACTATGAACGTCAAAATCGCCCAGTAGGGTTTGTAATTTGACCAAAATAATTAGTTCTAATGAAAAGCTTTGCTGATTGTCATCTGTTATTCTTTGTAGTTAAAGTGAGACTGGTGGATGGTTCTCGTGCCAGTGAGGGTAGAGTTGAGGTGTTCTACAACGGTGAATGGGGCACTGTCTGTGATGACGACTGGGATAACAACGATGCCCGTGTGGTCTGCAGAATGCTTGGTTACAAGTAAGCACATCTTTTAATTTGTTTCATTTGCTATTCATTTTAATCGTAAAAATGTAATTCATTTTTTTTTAAATCTGATCATGTCAACTAATTTGACGTGGCTTACAAATTCCAGCCCCAGTGGCTCTGTTTCCTTTTCTGATGCTCACTTTGGTCAAGGTACTGGTCCCATTCTTATGGATAACGTCAACTGTTCTGGAAGAGAGACCTCTATCAAAGATTGTGTTCACAGAGGTTGGGGGAAGCACAATTGTGGTCACTCTGAGGATGCTGGTGTCAGATGTCGCACACCAACAACACCTGGTGGGTAAACAGACTGTGTTCTTCAATTGTGTACTTTACTCGTTTTACATATATCTGTAATGCTATTTAGTTTATTTTACCATGGACTTGAGTTTTATGCACTAGCAAACACTTTGAACATACTCGAAAACGTTAAAAAAAATGGAATATAATATAATATAATATAATATAATATAATATAATATAATATAATATAAGTCAATATATAAATGCAACGTTTCTACATTTTGCTAGCTTCAAACTAATAATGGACGTCAAAATTGTCCAGTATTTGTACACTGTTTGATCAAATAAATAGTTCTAATGAAAATTTTTGCTGATCGTCATCTGTAATTCTTTTTAGTTAAAGTGAGATTGGTGGGTGGCTCTCGTGCCGGTGAGGGAAGAGTTGAGGTGTTCCATAATGGTGAATGGGGCACTGTGTGTGATGACAGCTGGGATAACAACGATGCACGTGTGGTCTGCAGAATGCTTGGTTACAAGTAAGCGCATCGTTTACTCTATGTTTCACTTGCTACTCATTTTAATAATTAAGAATGTTACCCATTTCTAAAAAAAAAATCTGATTTTGTCAACTTATTGTACCACCAGCGTGTGCGCTGGCGGTGCACATGGTTTTAGGCCCGCCTGGTATCGTCCGCCGTCCCGTCACCATTTCCGCTTCTGCTCCTAAACTACGAGAGCTTTGTATCCGTCTTTTGTATGTTGGTCACATATAATCTCAACTCGCTCCTTGTGAATTTTCGAGGTTTGTCGGTGCTTGTCGGTGTGGCGCTCGTCGCAATGCACCCTTGTCCAAAATTAGCAACATTTAAAAATGCTAAGTGTACCAAACTGAAGGAATTATGAGAAAAATGTCTTTAGATGGCTGACTGAAAGTCATATGTGAAGATTTCAAATATGCTCTTGGATTCCTTTATCCTTTATTTCACGTTGAAACGTTCCAAAATTTTCGAAAAAAAAGGATTTTTTTTTTGCAAAAAAAAAAAAAAAAAAAAAAAAAAA